CAGGTTATCAATGGCTTGCTTTCGAATTGCATTGATATCTTCGTTTTTATTTTACACACTACGCATGTTGATCTTTCACTTTTTGCTTAGCAATTCTCAGATTAGATACCAGATCGGCCGTAATTTACTCTCACGGTCACGATACATGGACAGATGGTTTAACGATTAATAATCCATTGTACCGGCTGCAACTGATGGTAAAGTGTTTGTTGCCCATGTGTTTCGTCACACATACTGTAGCATCTTCAGGTCTGAGAACAATTGGCTGCTTGAAGGCATTTGCATCCAACAAACGAACATTGATACTGTTTTCCAATTAGAGACACTTAACGAACGGTTTTTGAACAGCTTGAGCCAGAATGTTAACCACTAAACGGAATGCAAAGTTTATATTCAAATGCAATTAGATATTTGTTATGCTAACCCGGTTTTGCGTATCGTATTCGCGATTGTGCCGCAGCTTTTGCAGTTGCTCATCCGTTACCATGGACTCCTTTAACAGCAGACCTAATTTAGAACAGTCTTTGTCTATGACAGACATATTGAGCACAAGAAAACTGTACCTTCACTTTTGTTCAGGAATTCATCGCAAATGCCAAGGGATTCTACTGAATGGTTACCAAAGAAGGATGTTTGACGAAAAACGTTTGCACCCCCGCTCGTACTTAAGGATGCCTTGTCCGGGTAGCCCAATGGTAATTGGTCCCGTTCTCCGCCAGGCATCTCAACGTATCGGGAGTATTTTAATGAGGTGAGGATTAGAGTCTACTAGCAGGACTAACAAAACATTGGGCAACCTTTATTCAAGAGTACATGCCCACTAATCCGACAGAGGCGTTAAGCGTTGTATAAGGACTGCGATAAGGTGTACATTCGAAAGAACTACCGGAGGTTGTACCTCTGGATAGAGAACGCCTGTCTGTGATCCTTCCTCCTTGGATAAGAAGCTAATTCTGGTATTCACCGGAACGCACTCTTTTCAATCAGACCATTGTCTGTCATGGACAAAGTCCATTTTGAAGCAGGTCTGCTGATAAAGGAGCCCCTTATATATTGGCGACGAAATACCGGATGAGAAATGAATACACATCTTCCGTGGTTATTTGTAGAAACTGGCGCTCCATCACGAATTCCATATGCAAAATCAGGTTAACATAACAAACATCAGATTTAATGTTAACTTTATATTGTGTTTGTTGGTTACTATTCTGATCAAGCAGTTTAACCATGCTTTGTTTGTTAGGTATATGCCAGTTGGAAAACAATAATATTCTTCATCTGATATAAATGCCTTCCAGCAGCCATTCATAATCATCCATGCCCTGACGATGTAGTGGAACGCGTCAATAATCTGCTGCGTTTGGTGCCTTGAACCATGAATCGATCAACCACATGTTCATATAACTTTACCAGACATTGAATAACGACCCGCCTGACATTTTATCTGAGAAATGCGTAGCTTTGTAAATGTTGAGAGGACATATTTCGTAGATATGAATGCAATTTGAAAACAAAGCATTGATAACCTAAGCATAAATGATGGTCCCAGAATCAGTAGCCTTCAGCCTTAATGAAAATCAATTCTGGCTTAAAGCACAACCGAGTAATCTGAAAAAGACCATGGACACGATTGCCCAAAGAGAGTTCAAAACTGTGGCCGAAAAGTGAACGAACGACATGGAGTATTTTTCAGTAAATGCGGAAAAGGCGAACACACCCCCTGGAGAACTTTGCGACATTTGCCGGAAGCAGTCGCCTCCAGCGGGTGTATACCGTTTTTCAGGAAGCTCCAAAGCGGTAGCGGTTATTGAATAATTCATACGGGAAGTTACTGAGCAAAGTCGAGTTAGTACCGACGGACAAGAAACGCATAATATTATTAACTTATTATTCGTGACGTATCCGTCATCGGCGAGAATATCATCTTGCAGAGTCACACAACAATCTCATACGTTCCACAGCTGTTGTCGATGATACAAAAGTAAAGTGTTTTTAAAATGCGTAATGGTCATAGTTTTGTGAAGAGCCAAGATTGGAAACGGATGCTTAAGCCAGGAAGCTGCCGTCAATGAATCTTGAATTAGCATAAGTGAAGGTACGGTTATGGACCATGGCAATTTAACAATGCCATCAAGACTGCCGTTAGATAATTAAGCCGGAAAAAAGGTTAGTTCTTCAATAAGGACCTAACTGAAAACCGAAAGGAAACGTTTGCATAACATGGTGCAAAGAGATACGTAAGGAGTTGAAGGAAGATTACAAAAATCACAGAAGAATCTGATCAAAGCAGGCCACGGAGTAGAAATAAGGCATACAGGGGATGAGACGAGATATTCAGCTAAAACGGAAGATTCTGAATGAGCTAGAAGACGAAGGACGGGCAAGAACTACTGATCGGATAAACACGCTCTGCATAAAGTTCTACGACAACGTCTACTCTTCCACTACACGTTGCCCCAGAGGCCGTTCCCAAGGCAATCCAGGAACTAGTTAACTGGTCAGTCACAATCGCAGGAACTGACAAATGACCAAGCAAAGATGAGATAACACTTGAACTGTTTAAGGCATGAGGAACAATCGTATGAAAAGCGCTTGCCAAATATGTTACGGGATACATTAGGCAAACTGAGGCAACTTGAGTGTGAAATACATCCATACAGCGCCTTGTCTCGAGAAGAAAGGTGACCCTGAAGACCTGAAGAACCGTCCAGTAATTGCACTCCTCTTGCTAATCTACAACGTCTTCGCCAGAACTATTCTCAACCGAATCTGGAATGACCTCGAACTAGTCACAAGTCCGTAACAGGCCGGCTTTTGTACACGACTTTTTATCATCAGCAGTAAGCATGCCACCCAGCAGCTGCTTTCATCGACTACAAGAAGGCATTCGAATCTGTACAATAGACCTTTTAAACAGTCTAAAACCACGCCAAACATGCCATGTCACTTTTCCAGCAAAGTGTAACTCTTCTCACAGGAATGAGTGCGGTTTATTCTCATACATCGACGTATTCTTGGTCCTCCGTTTGGTCCAAAACCTGCAGTAAAGCTTTTGCAGGGGTTGAGTATTGAGTATGCAACGTGCACATGAAACGGGAGGCAGAATACTAACTGGTGTTGCTCGTTAATCAGTTACACAATGAAAGACAGCTGCATTCATTCCTGGCAACCCTTCTTTTCCACCTCGGCTACTACGCGAATGACATAACAACATGGAACGTCACTTAGTTACAAAGAAAATGGTTTATTTTTTATCATAATTCCTAGGTCATGAAAATCATTTCGTTGACGTGTCATAATCAGAAAAGAATATCGTAATAAGTCGATTATCAATGAAACATGTGGCTTCGCTATGCCCTTTGCTGACCTGTTCTTTTTTACAGGCATGACAAAACTTGTGCATACATTGTGCGATAAGTTCATTTAGATAGCTGCTAGGTCAACAAGCGAAAATGCAATCATGTCCGCTATAAAAGCAGATTAATCGCAAAATAGAAGGAAAAGGTTTACAGAACACCATCTACGTGCTGTATCAGTGTGTCTCTAAGATTTTGCCACAAATGTCCGTTTCCCGCAATTATGATTCATAACCTTCCTACGAAATTCTTCAGCTTATCCAGCCATTTAGAGGCATTCGTACGATTGGTTTCCTCTCTCTTGAAACCAATTCTAATGTCTCTCCTTTCCGAACCTACCTCAAGTTCAAAAGCAGCCTCCTGGAAGAGAGCATTTTCAATCTTTCAAACGTCCGCCAAATCACTTTTACTTTCCTGTTGATTTTTCAAAGACCCCTCTGTTGCCAACATGAGTTGTGCCAGCCTGAAGTAGTTTTCATCAGTTTAAGCCTAAATTTATGGATTCAAATAAGTGGCGGCGTTAGGTACTTTTTAATTATTACCGGTTAAATTGAGTGCTGATTTGATGCAAGTTTTAGGTTCTTCTCTGGAGCGATTCAGGTGATGATTCTCAGGAGATCACAACATTTTCGGCGAACTGCAGGGTCCATTTTTACAATGATCTCACAAACGGTCCATCGTGATAAACTCCTCCACGACTGGTGCAAAACTACGGCAATATTGCATCCCCCCTGCCCCACTTATTTTCGATATTAATTTGCATAGATTTGCATGAAGTCTCGCACTGGCATTGCATTCTTGTAAATCTTGACGATGAGACAGTTGAATCTTTGCTTGATTCCCTGAACTTTCAAAAAGTGCAATACAGGCGTGCATTGAGCCCAAAGCTTTCTGGAAAGTGACGAGCCTCAGCAAATAAGAAACTGAAACTTGTTGCTTGTCTGAATCACATTTTACATCACATGTTGATGATCTGCCGCTCAAAATCCGTCTAGAATCATGCATGCTCCATTGGTTGGGTGGCTGGGCAAATTTTCTTCCAATCTGTTCGTCACTGACTTCGTGAAGCAGGTGGCAGATGATTGGCTGCTTCTCGATTTGTCCCCAGTTTTCACATTCTGCATGTCTTTCCTCTTGTGGAATGGAATGGCTGAAATTTCAATCCAGTTATCATTTCTTTCAAAAGCATGTAAACAGGAACTCATTATCATTATCAGAACTCCAGCATGTGATTTTGCAAGTTCCGCTGATCTGCCCCATTCTTCAACAGCCCTTCGTCTGTTCGCCCGTTTTGCCGCATGTCGCACTTATTCACACAGCAGATCTTACCAGGGCGAGAAAGCTGTACACTCAAGTCGAAGCACGGCGCACAGCTTGGTTGGATGAAGCGGCGAATGAAAATGTTTTCCACAACCTTGCGCCCGCACGAAAGCGCAATTATCATAAACGGGTTGACGAACAGTGGAAAATGTCAAACACTTTCTTAAGGCAAACCTCCTTTGACAATGAATTTAATCCGTGCTGCAGCCTGATATAAATCTGAAAAGCGATATCTGAATGTCAGATATAACAAATCAGAGTTATTTGCAGTTTGAGCTACGTTATTACCTCGTTTAGTTGAAGACTACAAGACGGATGTGCTGAAGGTCATGTAATTCGTCCAGTTACGGTTTGTGATTCTTCTGTCTAGATTGAATTCATATTCAATCCATTATCTCCTACCGCAGATTATCTCCCATAATTCATTACGGTATATAACCGCCCTGAACTCACACAGGACCCCAGCCCGTAACTCGACAATACCACCTGTCACCAAATTGAAATAGTGCCTGAAATTCTTGCTAAGCATTGTACTGACGTCACCCGAAAACTGGTCCTTTGCCCAAATATACGATGGTCTCTCCCATGTTCCTCAACATCAATAAGGTGAAAGATCGGTTTACTGAAATCAGCTCCCTGTTGGATATGAGAAGGTTAACCTACTATCCTCACCGAGGTGACTGACTACAGAATCAACTATTACGAGCATCGTGACAGAAAGGTTGCAATTTCATGCGCATCAGTTGGAGTGTCGTTCAGCAATATGGCAAAAGTGTAAAGCGCACGGGTCTTACTGGTAAAATGTTTGAAGTGGAATTCGCAGGTAAATGTGCCAATAAAAATTAACTTATAAACAAAAATTAAACCAGATCTTATAGGTTTACCAACGTACTGAGAGTTATCGATACCGCCGTTAAACTATTTAGTCCATTTTGGTTTTTGATACCGGATTGAAACGGAGTAAGCACAGTACCGTTACTCCTCGTCGCCTAGGGGATCATTTAAGCTAGCCAAGGCTCCATGGCATTTGATCGCTTCTAGTGCACG